AGATGTAGATAAGTGGGCAGTGTGCTTAGAGGATGATTGCTAACATGTATCTTGGGGTGGGGAGTAGAGATAATGAAAGTTTCCAAGGGAATTTTTTTTTCAAGATTTTATTTATTTATTTGACAGAGATCACAAGTAGGCAGATAGGCAGCCAGAGAGAGGGGAAGGGAAGCAGGCTCCCTGCCGAGCAGAGAGCCCCATGCAGGGCTTGATCCCAGGACCCCAGGACCACAACCTGAGCCGAAGGCAGAGTCTTTAGGTGCCCCTTCCAAGGAAATTTTTATGTGTTAAAGTAGACTTAACAGGATCTTGGGGGTGGGCTAAGATTGCCCTTAGCAAAGTATTAACATAAAGGCAGCTGAGTTCCTAGAAGAAATGTCACTCTGCCTGTTTCAAGGACTTATAGGCAGTAGGTAATTTAATGTTTTCTTTTGCCTTTGTTTCCCACATCAGGAGCACTTCACAAAGTAACGGTCTCTCCTCCTGGGTGAAGAAGAGTTAGTTATGCCCCTTTGCTTCTGGTAAAGGGTTTAATAGGGTTTTTTTTGTTTGTCTTTTTGTTAGCTAACCATATAGGGAGGAGCTTACTCTTTAACTTTTTGGGTGTATCTCCTATATTTTGGTGGTTGGTTTTTCTACTGTCCTACATAGGGTTTTAGCATTACCTGCAGGGAGTATGTTAGAAGGTAGGGGATGATCAGTAAACTATTCCTAAGCTAAGACGGCACTTTGAGACCAGAAGACAAAGCAGGCCACTCCATAGTTTACATAGAGTTTTATTGAGGGTAACTTACTGACAGAGGGATTCTGGTGGAAAACAATCCACAGCAGCTGCGTAGTTAATTCACGAAATCCAGACCTTAGTCCACAGGTTATGTAGAGTGGGGGACACACAGAAGGGCACTGTAGTGAGATCAAAAGGTTTTACACCTCCAAAGGCTTCCATGCCCAGTTAGATCCTGGGGCACCACCTGTGCATCATCTCTAACAGATTCATGGGAGGCCAAAATAAACCTCCCTCCTCCCCCACCAATCCTGGCCTTAGCAGGCATTTCTAAGGTATATACATTAATCTAGTGGCCCATAACATGTAGTCCCAAGCGAGGTTATTGAGCAAATGTGAACAAGATGGACGGCCAAAGATGGGGTGAGTATTGTCAGCACAACACTCTGAGGGAACAGTTCAAAAATGTCCAACTGACAATGTCTTTTATAGCTGGAGGGAGTGGGGTCTTTTGAGTCTATGACCTAAAAACCAAAATGGTTTTACTTGGGTTAACTTCCCTTCTGAGCCTCCATTCCCTCCTTCCATCAATTACATAAAGGTCAGGTTATTGATTAGCTTGGCATCAATCACAGGTGGGGGTGTTCCTGGCCTAGGCAAGACCTTATTGCTGGTCTACGCAGTCCTTACTGCTTGAGGGGCAGTTTTGGTTCCCTAGGCAGGATACTTTGCCTGGAGGGCTTTTTGCCTGCCATAGGAGATGAGCTGGAAAGAAAACTTCAGGTCAAAATGGAGGTAGTTGAAAGCCCGCTTTGAGCAGTCTCATTCATTTTCCTTGTGTGCAGTTTGACGATCTCTGGTGATGTCATCAGGTGTGAACCCTTTGAATAGCCCAGCTGCAACAGGCAAGAACATCGTCCACGCATGGCTGTTAATGGTGATTTCTAGGAAATTTCTGTCAGGTTGTCCAGTTTCAGTTTGCAGGACTTCAGGAAAAGCGGTTTTGTTCTTAGTGATTCCAAGTCAGAAGGCTGGAAGAAAATTGGATTTGGAGAGTCTTAATCAGATATTTGAGAAAACCAGAAGAATTTAGGGTCCAGATCAGTTTGCAGATAGATAACTTCAGAGTCAGCGACAGCACTGGGATCTGATACACACAGAGGTGTGCTATTGAAACATACTTTTTCTCTTCTGCAGTCATCCATTTGTATCAGAGATAATCGCAGTAAGACTAACTTGTTTGCAAAATAAATCTGGTCTCATTAAACATGGCCTGATTATTTACATAGCTACCATGAGAATAGTTATTGGCCACATGGGTTTTTTGGATTTGCCTTTTTTTTTTTTTTTAAAGATTTTTTTTATTTCAGTGAGAGAGAGTGTGAGTGAGCACAAGCAGGGGAAGCAGCAGAGGGAGAGGGGGAAGCAGGCTTCCTGCTGAGGAAGGAGCTTGATGCAGGGCTCAATCCCAGGACCCGGGGATCATGACCCGAGCTGAAGGCAGATGCTTAACCAACTGAGCCACTTAGGCGCTCCTTTGCTTTTCTACGGAATCTCCGATTCGACGTCTATTTTATTACTATTTTATTTGCCAGAGAGAGAGAGAGCACACACAAGCAGGGGGTGCAGCAGGCAGAGGGAAAAGCAGGCTCCCTTGTGGGACTGGATCCCAGGGTCCTAGGATCATGACCTGAGCCAAAGGCAGCTGCTTAACGAACTAAGCCATCCAGGCATCCCTTAGATTGTACTTTTTTTTTTTTTTTTTTAAGATTTTACTTACTTATTTGAGAGAGAACATGAGAGGGGAGAAGGTCAGAGGGAGAAGCAGACTCCTCGAGGAGCCGGGAGCCTGACAGGGTCTCCATCCCGGAACTCTGGGATCATGACCTGAGCCCAAGGCAGTGGCTTAACCAACTGAGCCACCCAGGTGCCTCCTCAGATTGTACTTTGAAAAGCCACTCAAGGCCCGAAGCCAAGCCAAGGACTCACTGTCCTTGCCTGCAATACCTATGAATTTGAATAGATTCCTCTCTTCTCAGAGCCCCCGAAGTTTTCTGAACTTCTCAGGCTGCCAGAAGGGGACCATCTTTATCCATTGTGATGCTGGAAACCTAGTAAGCAAGATACCAGGCAGTGTTCTGAAGGGCTTTTATTGGCTCTATAAAGTCAGCCTTAGTTCTTGAGGCTGTTTGGTCATGTCTGTGTTTGTTATAAGGAACAGATTATCTGCAAATAAATACATAATACCATGAAAATAATACTTAATAAGCATTTCCAAATTCTGATGAGATCAGGTAAGGAGAAAGATAAATGTTTCAGTTCTGTTTATCTTCATCAATTCATTTAGTCCCTTGTAATTGATTATTGTTTTGCTTGATCCTGGTGATGAGGGAACTGAAGCCTGGCTGAGGACAAAGCAAAAGGCTGACACCTTGCAACCCTCCCCCCCCACTCCTGGGTGGGACATATGTGACATTCTTAGGACTCTCCCAACTATCTAATAGCTTGCTAAAAAGGGCAAACCGCCCTTGGCAATGGCTTGGCTTCTGGTATCCCAAATCTTGTAGGTCCTCTTTAGCATATGAAAGTTCTGTTGAAACCTCCCTTTCCCTTACTTCCCCCACCCTCGTGGTACAGAACCTGCCACTCTTCACAACCCAGGGCAGCATCTTTCTGCCCACTGGTCCTGTTCCCGTGCTTTAAAAAACCACCATTTTGCACCAAAGATGTCTCAAGAATTCTTTCCTGGTCATTGGCTCCGGACCTCACCCCACGGAACCTCACTTACATTCTAAAACTTCATCATAGGCAGTTTTGTGAGTTGAGTTTTCCATTAGAGTTAAGGAAATTCTTACCCAGTTCAGTGGTAAGATCTTAAAGTCTATCAGAAACCTATGCATATCAGAGTCCTTTTCTTGAATCTCAGAAGACCGAGCACTTGAAAAAATCATCAGTAAAACTGTAAATGACAAAAAAGACTTTAAAATGGCAATGGTTTTAAAGATCTGATGAGAGTTCATTCTAATGCAAATGACAAGGAAATGTGGTTATTTCTGTGGCACAGATTTTTAAGATAACTAGAATTATGACTGATAACATACCAGAACAGAGCAGATCGCTAGGAATTTAATCACATGATTTAAATAGTTCAGTATCTCTCCTTTAGAAGATGTTCCAGGGAACATGCTGGGAAATCCCAGAATTAGTCTGAGTTTAGAAAGACCTACTTACTGTTTGGGGGAAGTTTGTCAAATATCAAATGTTCTAGAACACCTTATTAAACAGGTCACTGTGAAACAGCACTCTTTTAACCAAAGAGATGGTTAAAAGATGTCCAGAGGCGGGGCACCTGGGTGGCTCAGTGGGTTAAAGCCTCTGCGTTCGGCTCAGGTCATGATCCCAGGGTTCTGGGAATCCAGCACACACACACACGCACACGCACACACACACTCACACACACCCCCCACATTGGGCTCTCTGCTCGGCAGGGAGCCTGCTTCTCCTCTCTCTCTGCCTGCCTCAGGGAGCCTGCTTCTCCCTCTCTCTCTCTTCCTGCCTCTCTGCCTACTTGTGATCTCTGTCAAATAAATAAAAAAAAAATTTTTTTTTTTTTTTTTTTTTTTTTTTTTTTTTTAAGGCAGGCAATCGAAAAGACTGCTGCCATGAGCAACTCCACAGTCTCACTTTTATTGGATAGAAACAATAGCCAACAGAAGAACCGATGAAGGTCAAACGTTAGTCACATGTCTTGCGGACAAGCAAGGAGGAGGATAAAGTTTATAGTTAACCAAGCACATTCAAAGGACACATCTAAAAAACAACGGGCGCTGCTGGGAAGAGAAAGGAGCAATAACCGGAAAAGGGAAGCAGGCGGTATTTCGTTCCACCCTGAGCTGACCGGGCGTTCCCGGGTGCTCGGCTTCCCTGAAGCAGGCGCAGGCGACGTTGCGCCCTGGACAGGCCGGGCGTTCCCGGCTGCCCGGCTTCTGTGAAGGGGCGGCCTTCCGCCCTGAGCAAGCCGGGCATCCCCAGCTGCCCAGCTTCACGGTCACGTATCGTCCTTCTCCCCAAAGACCTGTAGCCAGTATATGTTTTTCTTAAGACCATATCTCAATGTGCTTGGCAACTAGTAAAATCCTCCAGGGGTTATAGTTTAAGTAACAAATTGTTCCGAGGGGCAGCAGCAGAAAGGGTTGATAGCCAGTGGGTACCTGAAAGCAAATCCAGGAGCCACAGTTCAAAAAATTAATTCTTACACGTGTTTTTCTCCTACTAGGCTGAATTTAGGAAGGGTGAAACAACATTTTACCTTCCTTTCTTGTCCGGGCACTACAGATGGAGATCTGGGAGAGCAGAGTTTGGTAAGAATTCTTACCTTTGGCTGGCTTCTGCCTGTTTGATCCCATCTGTAGGCTCTGGAAAAAATGATATGTCTCAGCGGGTACTTTCTGGGTCAGCAGAAACTATAGGGGAGGAAAAATAATTCCAAGTTCTTGGTGGGAACCCTGTAATAAAAGACAGATTAGTAAGAAAAATGAAGTTTATTAACATGTATATCTCATGTATACATGGGAGATAACCAGGGGAAAAGAAGTAACTGCAGCAGCCCATTGCTTGCGTTACCTCCCTTCTTGGGTGTGGTAGGAGTGAAAATCACAGGCCAGCTGTTACGATTTAAAGGGGGCACATCTGAAAACTTGAAAAACTTTTGTTCCCAAGTCTGCATAGGTTTACCGCTTTTACACTAACTAAAGAGTTAAGCTCCTTTGTGTTTCTCCTTATCTGAATCATTTGGACCCTTTGGTGTAGAGCCTGAGAATCTGTTTCTAACAAGCTTCAACACTGGATGCAGTTGGTCCTGGAATTAGGGAACCGCTGATTTCTGTTATGATGTTAACCAATTAGAAGTTGAAAGTTCTTTAAACTGGTTTGATCTTCACATTGCAAAAGCCAGTCTTACTGAACTCAACCTTTGGTTTTATCTCCCTTTAAGTGGAGGTAATAAAACCTTTTTTATCTGCCATTTTAGGTGACGCTCTATTGCCCAGTTAGGCTTCTAAATTGGACTTCTGCATTTATTTTTCAAAGATTTTATTTATTTATTTGACAGAGATCACAAGTAGGCAGAGAGCCCAATGCGGGGCTCGATCCCAGGACCCTGGGATCATGACCTGAGCCTAATGCAGAGCCTTTAACCCACTGAGCCACCCAGGCGCCCCTAGACTTCTGCATTTAAAACAGAAACGAACACTTGAAATACCTGCCCTCAAGAGAATGTAAGAAGTATGTCAGACTTTCAGATAAACAAAGTGATGGTCTTCCTTCCCTAAGGAATGTCCATTTTTTATGGGACCAATCGGTGTTTTTCATAAGATTCCCAAAGGAATCCGTGACCTAGAAATGTCAGGAAGTTTAAAAAGTTACACGTGTGGATAGTTATTGAGATAAATGTATTAATTAGCTAAATCAAACCAGGATAAAATGGAGACAATAGAATCTGAGAGTTGGGACCTGGAAGATAATATTTAGTCTGGAATATAAGAATGGACCATCAGAATCACTTAGGGAGGGGTCTTAGTCATCATTGCAACTTCCTTCTTCTCTCTCTTCAGATTACTAGCTTTCTTCCTTACACAAATATTTACTGAGCACCTACTGTGTGTCAGACACTATGCTAGCCATTGGGGTATAGCAATGAAGAAAAAAATTGGGCTGCCCCACCCTTGTGGAACTCATAACCCAGCACTCTTACTAAGCCGCTGCTGTTGGAAAGAACAGTGGGCTCCCTTGTTTTGGAACGGAAGGAAGGCTGGGACCCACTACTGTAGTCTAACTTTTACTTCTTCTTCTCTTGCTTTCTGTAGTAACCCTTAGGATCATTCATCCGCACTTCACTTGAACCCTTCCAGTCGTAGGGTGCTTGGGACAAAGGGGCTTTATCCATTCTGGACAGCTCAAATTATTAGTGATTTCTTCCTTAGACTGTATTGAGCTACAGTCACTCTTATGCCTTTCACCCATTTTTTCAGGTCTACCAGCTAGGAACACATAGAGTAAGCATCCTTTCACATCCTTTCATGTGTAGAAGTTAGATACATGCATCTCGCACCTGTGCCTGACAATTCTTGTTGCCAGGCTTCTCTTCTCTGTTTTTTCAGGTATTTTTCCCATAGGACATTTCAGTTCTATAAGCCTGGTTGCTTTTTCCAGGGCACGTTCCAGTTTCTCAGAATTCTTAGTGTGTGTTTCCCAGAACTAAGCTTGAAACCATTTATATCCTTTCAGTTTAGAATAAGACATTAGCAGTAGGTGGGTAGCCATGTCCCACTTTCCACTAAGAGTCCGCTAAACACCCTGTGTCATTTGTGTGAACTGTTGGTCTCCCTTTTTCTGCACCTACGTGGCCAACTCGTTGAACCTTACTGAAGTTTATGTATATACCTAATATATTCTTCATTTTTAGAGTCAGGCTATAAAGACCTTTTAGGCTGCTTATTTGCAAATCCAGGATTTGCTCCTTCAATAACTAACTATCTTTTGAGCATTTCTGCTGCCCTAAGTACTGTAGTTCTAGAATAGACCTTAGTAAACAGATGGTAAACAGAGCTTATACAATTTACTCATTATCTTTTAGTCATCCAAACTCATCCCTGAGGATAATTTGGGGATTGTGATGGGTTTTTGTTTGTTTGTTTTTTCTTAAGATTTTCTTTATTTGTGGGGCGCCTGGGTGGCTCAGTGGGTTAAAGCCTCTGCCTTCGGCTCAGGTCATGATCTCAGGTCCTGGGATCAAGCCCCGCGTCAGGCTCTCTGCTCATCAGGGAGCCTGCTTCCTCCTCTCTCTCTGCCTGCCTCTCTGCCTACTTGTGATCTCTGTCCATCAAATAAATAAAATCTTAAAAAAAAAAAAAAAAAGATTTTCTTTATTTGTGAGAGAGAAAGAGCACAAGTTGGGGGTGAGGAGGGAGGAAAAGGGAGAAGGAAAGAGGGAGAAGCAGGCTTCTGGTGGAGCAGGGAACTTGATGTTGGTGGGGGTGGGGTGGGGTAGGACTCAATCCCAGGACCCTGAGATCATGACCTGAGCTGAAGGCAGACGGGTAACTGACTGAGCCACCCAGATGCCTCAGGATTAGTATGGTTTTTTACAAAATAACCTTGAGTAGGCCCTTAATGTTGCCTGAGAAGCGTTTTTCATTTTTGCCTGTCTGTTCATGCTCCTGCTGTCCTAGAAGACTATATCCTACCTTCTCAAGCCTTGCTTTCAGTTGATCTGCCTCCTGTAACCCTAAGAGAAAGTAAAAGCATTCAGAAAAGAACTTCCATCCACCCTCTGCCTCATTTATCCACTCCCTGCATCTGGGCCTGGTGTTCTGCTTTTTCCTGTTTTTCCTGTTAACGGCTCCTCTTGAGCCTTGTCTCTGTGCACTGCATCCCCCCCCCCTTTGGCCTACTTACACATCTCCCACTGTGCTGGGTCTTTGTCATCAGTGCCAGACATGCCACAACTCTATCTTTCTCTTCCAGTTGCTCTAGAACCCACTCCAGTCAGAATTTTATCACTTCATTGAAACTGCTCTTGTCAAGGGCACAGTGACCTTCACGATGCTAACCAGTGACCTCTCAGCTTTTGGCACAGCCAGTGCCTCCTTTCCAAGGCTGCACACTCCTCTACTTAGCTTTCAAGACCTCACACTCCCCTACTTCATTGGTCCTTTTCCTGTCCATGTCTTTTGCTGGTTCCTCATTGTCCTCTAAGTCTTAATGTTAGGGTACCCCCACATCTCAGCTACTCTGTTGGTAATCCCATTCATTCACATGGCTTTGGACACCATCCAAAAGCTGACAGCTTCCTACTTTACTGTTGAAGTTTAGTGTGTGGGTTCCAGTTGGGTTCTACAGTTTAAAGCTGTATGATCTTGAGCAAGTTATTCCTTGCCTCCAATACCTCATGGTAGGTACTTCAGCATTTGTTGAAAGAACGAAGGAAAGAAAAATAAAACTAGTTTTAACCTAGAAAAATGGTAGAGTTCACAAGTTTCTTTATAGAACTGCCAATAGAGAAAAATAAGAATTACTTTGTTTTACAAATGAAGGGGAAAATTAGTAACTTGTATTACTAACTCCATTCTAGCTCTTCATCCTGTCACATAGTTGAACGTCTTTAACAGTGTGATCTGGCTTCTCCCCTAACAGCTCTATGGAAGTTTCTTTACTTAAACTACTAGTGACCTAAATACCAAATTTGGAGGGCATTTTTTGGCCCTTACAGTACTTGACCTCTCTGTTGATCTCATTCTCCTTGGAACTTCTCTCTTGGCTTTCACAAACCTCTCTGACTAGTCTTCTCTCTCTCCTCCCTGCTCCTTAAATACCAGTGTTTTCCAGGGCTCCTTTCCCACATGGTTCGTGGTTCTTGCCTGAAACTTGACTCTCTCTGAATTTGGTGTGGGGGACTTGGACTCCTTGTTACCCACACTTGCTTTCAACCATATTTCCTGTTCCTCTTAGAAACCCCTTCCTTTGAACGGGGTTTCTACCATCTGACATTGTCACCCTCTGTGTTGGCTGTCCTTTGCCAACCTCTCCCTCACATACAGAGTATTTCAACACCTGGTTCACCATCTGAGTCCCCATCATTTCAGTTCACTTAGCTTCCTGTCAGCTGTGAACTCTCTTTACCCAGCCCCAGCTGTACAAGCCAGAGACATCCTGAGCCTTACCTGTAACAAGTTAATAGCCTCCGCATTCACACATTTAGACAGTTTCCTGACCATGGTTGTCTTCCTTCCATCTTGCTTGCTTAAGGCTCACAGAAGCAATTCTTTGACCTCATTTGTCTGAACTTCTGGCCCACTTATCTACGAAAACCCCAACCCTGGACAAATCTAGCTGCATCATCTCTCTCTAACGCTGGGGACAGTCACCTCACCCAGGGAATAAGCTGGTGACCGTAATTTTGTAGTGTTTCAGTGGTCTTCCCCTCATCTTTCTCATCCCCATCAATCCCTCCTTTCATCCAGCTGGCAGAGTGATTCAGAATGCAAGTCCAACCATGTCACTCCTGCTATCATCATTGCTATCCTGTGTTGTAAAAGGCCAGTGCCTCTCAAATTTGAACATGAATATGAGGCACCTGAGAGTCCTGTTAAAAATGCAGGCCTCACTTGAGTAGGTCAGGGTAGAGCCTGACAGTCTGCATTTCTAACAGAACTTACTTTACATCTTTGTTTTCTCATTTCTGTGAGGTAACCTCAGGGTTTGGTAATCTATATCAGAAATTTTGAACTTTTTTTTTTTTTCCTAAGGTCTTACTTATTTGACAGATCACAAATGGGCAGAGAGGCAGGGAGAGAGAGAGGGGGAAGCAGGCTCCCTGCTGAGCAGAGAGCCCGATCTGGGGCTCGATCCGAGGACCCTGAAATCATGACCTGAGCCAAAGGCAGAGGCTTAACCCGCTGAGCCACCCAAGCACCCCAGAAATTTTCAACTCTTAAGTAAAAAATTAGAAGGGTTTGTTGCTTATTAACTGAAGTTCCAGTGTCAGAGTTGGATGGCTCTCAGAGTCATTGAGGTTTATCTATCTCCTCACTGTCTGGATAAAGTGTGGAGGATGGAACAAGTTCTAGGCAAAGAACTCAACTTTTCCCAACTCCTATGATATTGGTCCTCCATTTTAACTGTCTGGCTCCCTTAATTTTCTCCACAGCCACTAGAGTGCATATAGTGTGTGCATACACAATGTATGCCACTTGTGGAGTAGACAGAATCTAAAAGGGCACCTGTCCCCGGGGATGTTCATAGCCTAAAATAAAGGCATTCTCCCCTCTTCTCCCAAGTAGTCTCATCTTCTATCCTTTTCAAACTTTGTAAATACAAGTTTAGTAACAAAAGAAATTTAGTGTTAGGCATGGCAAATCATGATGAGCCGAGAAAGTAGAGTTTGGGGAATTAAATCTTTTTTTTTTTTTTTTTTAAGATTGATTTATTTATTTGACAGAGATCACAAGTAGGCAGAGAGGAAGAAGCAGGCTCCCCGCTAAGCGGAAAGCCCAATGCAGGGCTCGATCCCAGAACCCTGGGACCATGACCTGAGCCAAAGGCAGAGGCTTTAACCCACTGAGTCACCCAAGCGCCCTGGGGAATTAAATCTTAACATTGGTGTGTAAGTTTAAACACGCCCTACCTTCAGAACAATAGCTTTCAGTCTTTGCTTGGAAGTGACCTGTGTTTTGACTCGCAGCCCACTAACACACAACTTGGGCACAGATGTGTAACTGAAAAAGCGTGTCTAAATAAGAATACTGTTTGTTGCCTGGAAGCATTCTATTTCTTTTAAAGTCTGATTACAACTCACTAATTTGATTTTACTAACCTTAATGCTTCTAACCCTGAATTTGGGGCTTTAGAGTCCTAGTCACACAGAATATTCAACTGAACTGGACCTGATTTTGATTCAGTATGATAACTTTTCTTCTGCTGAGGCTAGACTCACTTCTGCAGAGAAAACCTCCCTACTGTTAACACTTAATTTTCTTTAAATCCCATTTAAACCGTACTTGTTCCAAGAAGACTTTGTACCTTATTTACTGTTTGATTTAGTGTACCTTCAGCATTGATATACTATATTTCCTGATTGCCATGTGTGAGTAAGTACTTGGTTTTGATTTCATTTATGTTTACTCTGTCCCCAATTAGACTGTTAAGTCCATAAGGGCAAAAATCCTATATTCCTTTTTTTTTTTTTTAAGATTTTATTTATTTATTTGTCAGAGAGATCACAAGTAGGCAGAGAGGCAGGCAGAGGAGGGGAGGGAAGCAGGCTCCCCGCTGAGCAGAGAGCCTGATGTGGGGCTTGATCCCAGGACCCTGGGGTTATGACCCAAACTGAAGGCAGAGGCTTAATCCGCTGAGCCACCCAGGTGCCCCAAGACCCTATATTCTGTTTCTGTGGAATGCTCCCATTCCCTCTAATTTTGTACCTGATTGACATTTTAATCAGTCATCCATTAACCTGTGGTTCTTGCACAGTACAGATGCTTAGCTCTGTCAGGGCATCTTTCTCATCCTGTTTTCTCATATGCTCATCCACCTCATTTCCCTACAGATGCAAAGCCTGTGAAAGAAGAACCATTGTCACAGGCTCGGCTCTTTCCCAGAAGCCTTGAGGAAGGTCTGGGGTTTGAATATGCGATGTTCCATAATCTTGTTGAAAACAGGACAGTTTGCATATTGCAAGGAGGTCCTTACCTGCAAGGAATACCTGGGTAAGAATGATAGCATCCCATTGATTAGTAGCATCTGAAAGATGGCTAGCTTGTAGTCATACATATCCATAGACTACAATAAAGGCATTGAAGTGGCAATGTAGATACATATTTATTGACATGGAAAGATGTTTATAAATATTAAATCTCAAAAGTATGAGACAGGGCAAAAGAGTATCATTAACATGTTAACTGATTCGTCACTAGATGGTGGCATTATAGGCCTTCCAATTTTTAATTTATTTTTCTTTGTTGATCTGCCTTTCCTACATTTCTCAAAAGATTTTATTTTATTTTTTTTTAAGATTTTTATTTATTTATTTGACAGAGATCACAAGTAGGCAGAGAGGCATGCAGAGAGAGGAGGAAGCAGGCTCCCTGCCGAGCAGAGAGTCCGATGTGGGGCTCGATCCCTTATTTATTTATATGACAGAAAGACACAGCGAGAGAGGAACACAGGCAGGGGGAGTGGGAGGGGAGAAGCAGGCCTCCTGCCTAGCAGAGAGCCTGATGTGGGCCTTGATCCCAGGACCCTGGGATCATGACCTGAGCCAAAGGCAGCCGCATAGCAACTGAGCCATCCAGGCGCCCCTGCACTTCTTAATTTTTATACAGTGTTATATACAGTTAAATAAAACAAATGAATTAGTATCCGATTACCATTAAGTTCTGGTGTATTAGCAACACTATAGTATTATGCTAAGAATGAAATAAATCTGGTGACATGGATATTATTTGAGTTCATTGAACATGGACCAAGTGGACCTTTCATAAGTAAATTATATGGAGATGTGCTTGGGTAGTTTCTCTCCAGAGGCTCTGTTTTTAGACCTTCTGAAAACGTTTTTCTTCTTTTTCTTTTGTTTTAACTAGATTCCTTCACGGAGGTGCCATTGCAACCATGATTGATTCTACTGTTGGTATGTGTGCATTTATAACTGGGGGAGCTGTCATGACTGCCAATCTCAACATCAGTTTTAGAAGGTAAATTCCTGGGTATTACCTGCTTCTTACATGTCCTGGATCAGGCAGCAGACCTTGAGACAGAGATTGGTGTGCACACGGTAAAGGAAATGCTTCTTATGGAAGCATCTCTTCTTATGAAAGTACCTCTTTCAGAAATACTCAGGTGGGCAACACATTTGCCTTCTTTCTACTTGGTTCTTTTCTGTAATCAGTCCTTTCTGTAAAGGGTACCATTCCTGCATTTTCTGGAATTGTTTGGCTTCCTGACAGTTCTCTGCCTGTTGATGTGGGGAGAGGGTTAATGAGGGCTCTTAGATTGTGCCAGACATATATAAACCCCCAAATGGCAGTTGTCTGGTGTAAATCCACCAATATGCATAGATGTTCTTTTCACCTGTCAGCTCAGCTGTTACCATGACCTTTAATAGAGTAAAATACTGTGAAGGCCGACATAAGTTTTATCTTCATTGTTCTCTGTATGTAAACTGCTTCAAAAATTAAACCTATCCAATCATACCCATCCTTATTTTTTAATTATAGCTATAGTTTTATAGTTCTTGTGTTACTTTTTCCCTTTTTTCAGAATCATTAGGGACTCCTGGCTTTCCATAACGTAGTCCTAATCATCACACTCTTTTCTGTGCTTAAATTGCATTTGGCCTGTTAGGAGTTTCTTTGGACCTAGGTCCTGTCCTTTCAGTTCTTTCCAGATGGAATTTTAAGTACTTTGTCTCCAGAGTGACAGTATAATGTAGTGGTTAAGAGGACAGACATTGGAGCAGGTTCAAATGCCCATTTTGCCACTTACACCTGTGTGGCCTTAGGTTTCTTAACCTCTCTATGCTTTAATTTCCTCATCTTTAAAAAGAGGATAATAATATCCACCATAAATATAGGGTCATTATGAGCTGTAAATGAGTGAATGCATGTAGAGCACTTAGAACAATATCTGGCCATATAAGTACTCAGTGAGTGTTGGCTTATTATTATTATTGTTAGTGTTGTTACTAACAAATTCATTACTTTTTATTTTAGCAACAATGAGGTGTATCTATGCCAAGACATATAGTAGCTACTCTGTAAAGATTGCTGATTTCTTTTGAGTGGAGAATAGTGCAAAAGACTAGGAAAATATTAGGTGTGTTCTCATGGTGGGCAGGATAACCTTGCTGTTCGGCCATTTCTGTGTCACAGCTGGAAAATTCTTAACATTTAGTAAGTTTATGAGTTCACATGGTATTTAGTTTTTTTTTGGTATCTTACTTTATGATATTTTAAATTTTTTTTAGAGATTTATTTATTTGTCAGAGCATGCACAAGCAGGGGGAGCGGCAAGTGAAGCAGGCAGAGGGAGAAGCAGACTCCCTGCTGAGCAAGGAGCATGTCTCAATCCCAGGACCCTGGGATCATGACCTGAGTCCAAGGCAGATGCTTAACTGACTGAGCCACCCAGGCATCCATCCCCACAGTGGTGTTTTAGATTTAATGGGCATATATATATATATATATATTTTTTTTTTTAGATTTTATTTATTTATTTATTTGACAGAAACACAGCGAAAGGGAACACAAGCAGAGGGAGTAAGAGAAGGAGAAGCAGGTTTCCTGCTGAGCAGGGAGCCTGATGGCGGGGTTTGAGCCCCAGGACCCCAGGATCTCACAGCCAGATCCAAAGGCAGATGCTCAATGACTGAGCCATCCCGACACCCCTTTGCCTTATATTTTTAACATTTTTTGAGTAGTGTGAAATATATTCATATTGTTACGAAACTAATCTTTAGAACTTTTTTATCTTGCAAAACTGAGACCTTATACCCATTAAACCTTAACTCCCTATTTTCCTGTCCTTACAACCCCTGGCATCTACCATTCTACTTTCTGTTTCTATGAATTGACTTTATATATATATATATGTATATATGGACTCCATACAACATTTTCTGTTTTTGTAACTGGCTTATTTTATTTAGCAAAATGTCCTCATGTTTTATCCATGTTGTAGCATGTAACAGGATTTTTCTTTTTCTTTCTTTCTTTTTTCCTTAAAGATTGATATATATATATATATATTTTAGAGAGTGAGAGCAGGTGGGAGAGGTACACAGAGAAAGGGAGAGGAAGAGAATCTCAAGCACACTCCCTGCTGAGTGCCAAGCCAAGTGCAGGGCTTGATCTCACAACCCTGAGACAGCTGAAATCAGGAGTTGGAGACTTAACTAAGCCTCAGGCATCCCACGATTTTTTTTTTCTTTTTTAAGGCTGAATAATATGCCATCATGTATATATCACATTTTGTTTATCCATTCATCCATCATTGAACAGTTGGGGTGTTGCCACTGCTGACCTATTACAAATGATGCTGTAATGAATGTGAATATGCAAATATCTCCGTGAAATCTTGCATTTAGTTCTTTTGAGTAAGTACCAAACAGCGAGTAGAATTGCTGGATTACATGGTAGCTCTATTTTTAATTTTTTGAGGAACCACTGTGCATGTTTCCATAGCAGCTGCATCATTTTACATTCCCATCAGCAGCCTATCTTTTTGCTAGCCTGTGTTATCATGGATTTTTTGTTTTTGCTTTTGTTGGATAGTAGCCATCCTAATGGTATGAGGTGATACATCATTGTGCTTTGATTTGCATTTTTTTTTAAGATTTTATTTGTTTGAGAGAGCACGAGTAGGGGGTGCAGGCAGCGGGAAAGGGGAGAAGCAGACTCTCTGCTGAGCAGGGAGCCTGATGCAGGACTCGGTCCCAGGAACTTAACCTGGGAAGGCAGACGCTTAACCAACTGAGCCACCCAGGTACCGTCCATTGAGTGGTCTTAATACTCTTAATGAAAATCATTAGACCAAGATGAGAGGGTTTATTTCTGGGCTCTCTGTTCTATTTCATTGGTCTGTATGTCTGTCTTTATGCCAGTACCACACTGTTTTTATTACTTTGTAATATGTTTTGAAATCCGGAAGTGTGATACTTGGAGCTTGCTTCCCCACCCCTCAACACTGTTTTTGCCATTCAGGGTCCCGTGAGAATCCTATGAATTTTAGGATGGATTTTTCTGTTTCTGCAAAAAATTAAGCTACTGGGATTTTCTAAGATTGCATTGAATATGTAAATTGGCTTGCATACTACTGACATCTTACTAGTATTTTCTTCCAGTCCATGAACACAGATACTTTTTCCATTTATTTCTGTCTTTAATTTCTTTTAACAGGGCTTTGTAGTTTGCAGTGTACACGGTTTTTTTGCCTCCTTGGTTATGTTTATTCCTAAGTATTTTATTTTTCTGTTATTTTAAATATAATTATTTTCTTGATTTTCTTTTCTGATTGTTCATTGTTAATGTATAGAAGTGAAATTGCTGAATAGAAGTGACAGAAGTAGGCATCCTTGTTGTGTTTCTGATCTAGGAGGAAAAGCTTTCAGTCTTTCTTCATGGAGTATGATGTTAGCTGAGGGCTTTTCTTACATGGTTTTTATTATGTTGAGGTAGTTTCCTTTATTCCTAATTGTATTTGAGATTTTTTTTTTTTGTGGAAACTTAACAGCTTTTATTTTTATCGTTAATCAGAACCAAGAGAACATTTCTGAAAGAACTAATTTTGCTTTTCATTCACCCAGAGCATTATATATACATGCACGCCTACTCTCGGGTATAGACATTACTCAACTAAACTCCACAGGGTTGCGGCTGGAAATGGAGTCAGACTGGTAACAAAGCATTTCCTGAATGCTTACCCAGGGTAAATGATAAAACGTCTACCCATTACCCCCGCCTCCCGCCAAAACAAAGAAAGGGGTAATTGTTGAATATGTACAGATTTTTTTTTTTTTTAAAGCGCAGAGAAAAGCTCTGGGTTTTAAATCTACTCCTTATTTCTACATACCAACTCTTTTCTGTGGTCTGAACTTGCATGCTAGTTACTGTCAAGAACTGGTGGCTCCAAGGTGATTCTGTATTGTATTTGAGATTTTTAACTCCTCACCCAAACTGTCACCATACCTTCTCTTATATAATCCTGTGTCTTACCAACCACCTCTGTATCATTTGAATGAATCAAATGAAAATTAGAATAAATTTGCTAAAAGCTACCAAAAAACAAAATGTGATTTTGATAGCAGTTGCATTAACTTAAAAATCAACTTGGGAAAAATGGTCATCTTTACATATAGTCAGTGGTTTTTTACATTGACTTTATTTTATACATTTATATATATACATTTTACTATACATTTATACTTAAATATATTTTTACAGTGTATATTTTTTATACATTGACATTAAACAAATAGTTTTATACTACTTATACTATAAAATTAGATTCTAGAGATGGTTTTTCTACATGATAAAGAATATATTTAAATATGTTTAAAGTAATAAAAGTGGAATTTGGTTGTTCTATCAGGAGGTTCAGGAAAAGCTAATGGGAGCGTCATCATTTGTGATGACTTCCCTTCCACCTGGAGTAGTTCCTTTCCGTGGTGGCACTGTAGGAGCAGAGACCCCATCCTGCTCCACGTTACATTTCTGCCAAGTAACACTTCACCTTTGAAAAGGTACCTCTTTCATCATGGCACTCTGTCTCCAGGATTCCCAAAGGCCACTGTAGCCACTGGTCATGTGTAGCTATTTAAAATGAAATACAAATTTATTAAATTTAAAGATTCAGCAGCCCCTCTTGGGTATTCATTGTAAGGTAGCTACTGTAGTGGACAACTACACCAGAGGTGGAACATTTCTGTTACTATGGAAAGTTCTCTTGGACGGCCCTAGCTTAGTACATTAAGCTGTTACCTGCAGTTTGTTGTTATTGGGTGTCTTTCTAGTGACAGTCACTCTAAAGGGGATTGGGTGAGAAATTTGGATTATGATAGAAAACGAGACCTCCCATGGCCCTGTTTTCATTTCTTTAAAGGATTCCAGTACCCTTCAGAGTTTGCTCTCAGATGGGACAGCCTATGCCATTGAAAAGCTGGAATCCTCGTGGTCTCTGAGGCTAACATCAAGGGCAGCCTGGGTTCAGCCCCGGGTTAGGGGTGTCTGATCTGAGAAAGTTCTGTCTGTCACATGCTGATACCAGCTATCAGAGATTTCCAGCCCTTCACAAGCACGTGGTCATTTCAGTGTTATATAAATTTAATAAAAACAAATTTTGTCTCTTTTTTTTTTTTCTGCAGGCCTATCCCCCTTTGTTCTGTTGTTGTGATAAATAGCCAGCTTGATAAAATTGAAGGAAGGAAACTGTTTGTTTCCTGTAATGTCCAAAGTGTGGATGAAAAGACCCTATACTCTGAGGCAACAAGTAAGAAACTGCTACTATGTCTTTTTTTGGTTTGGTTTAGTTTCTTGGGTTTTGTGTTTGGGGACTTGGAAGTGGTTGGGTTTTGTTTTTGTTTTTGTTTTGCTTTGGCTTTATAACCCACAAATGCCCAGAAATTCTCAGTTCCCTATCATGTAAAAATATAAGTTAAAGGTATTCTTAAACACTGTTGAGAGCTACTTGCCAAAGTCTATCAAAACTATAAAGTCATGGGGCACCTGGGTGGCTCAGTCGTTAAGCGTCTGCCTTCGGTTCAGGTCATGATCCCAGAGTCCTGGGTTCAAGCCCCATGTGGGGCTCCCTGCTCAGTGGGAAGCCTGCTTCTCCTTCTCCCATTCCCTCTGCTTGTGTTCCTCTCTCACTGTGTTTCTCTCTGTCAAATAAATAAAATCTAAAAACAAAAAACAAACACCCCTACAAAGTCATTGTACTCTTTTTCACTTATTTCTAGGATTTATCCCACAGGTGTACTAAAGTGTGCAAAATTACAATGTATATGTTGCTCTACTATCACAGTAATTGTGTTACTCTTGTAAAGATACTTGGGAGAGCAAAAGATTGGTAGAACACAGATAGGCCTCAGTAGGAGACTGGTTGAGCAACCATTTTTGTGTGTGCCACAAGAAATTTTGTGGAATGTTATGGTACCATAAATAATAAGGAAATTCTTTAGCTATGGGGCTAGCTCATTAATACATATTGAATGAAAACCCTAAGATACAGGACTGTGAATGTGGTATCATTATCATTAATACAGAAAATGTAGAGACCCTTTGCATTCTCTTACCCTTTCTTCCTCTTTCCCTTTTACTCCTTCCCTCCTTCCTGAATAATTTATTCCAAAAGCCATTAGGTAGAGTGAGCAGGATAGCCTTGGGATTGACCAAAGGCTGTGGTGAGGTATGGCTGTGGTGAGGTATGGCTATGATGGCTTAGCACCATGTTGGAGCCCGAGTGGAATGAAGTGCAGGTGGCCCAGTGCAGGGTGTCAGAGACTTGTGGGACGGTGGCATCTATACAGGCTGGCTGCCAAGAGGGGAGCCAGGTGCCTTACTGTCAGAGAAGGGATTTCCAGATATGGAAAGAGAAAACTAGAATGAATGCTGTGGTGTTGGTTGGAATTGAAGGTCTTGGACGTGAATGTTTTCTAGTCTCTTGCTCTTAGAAATAACATTGTGAGTAACATCGTATGTTGTCATTTTACACACATTTTGGCAAGTTAATCTCCAATGGTGCCAGAGGAGACCATTCTTTGTACTAGTCTCACAATTTTCTGTCAGCTTGACATTTCAAAGTAAAAAGTGGGAGAGAGGGGGAAGTATTTGTATATTCTTGTGTTGAATAGACCTTCAGGAGTGCCACACAAACTTTGGTTTCCTCTGGGAGGAGGACCAGGTAGATTGGAGGGAGAGGCCACCATAGGCCCTTGTGTGTAGCTTGTGGCATGATCATGTCAGTGGATTAGCAGGACAAGAGCTAGGTTTCGTGGCACCTAAAACTTGCACGGTTTAAAGAATGCAGAATTGGGTACAAATGTGAGTCTTTATTTAAAAAGAGGAAAGAAACTGCAGCATTGCTGCTACTGCTGCTGCCGTCTGGACATGCAGGTCCCTTGCCTCTGTGGTTTCTCTAAGCTGTTCACCACAAGTGGTTCCAGATTTTATCCCTGAGTTACTCATGGCCCCTCGACTGACTGGGCCTTTGCAAGGGAGGAGCCCTTAAAGCCTTACATTCCTTAGATTCAGCTGGTAGACGAGTTAATTTAGATATCCAGTGCTTTTTGTTTGTTTCTGTTCTATTTTTTTTTAATTTTTTTTAAAGATTTTATTTATTTATTTGACAGAGAGATCACAAGTAGGCAGGGAGGCAGGCAGAGAGCGGGGGAAGCAGGCTCCCTGCCAAGCAGAGAGCCCGATGCGGGGCTCGATCCCAGGCTCGATCCCAGGGTCCCGGGATCATGACCTGAGCTGAAGGCAGAGGCCTTAACCCACTGAGCCACCCAGGCACCCCTGTTCTGTTTTATTTAATGGACCTCAGATGCCCACATTTGGCTTAATCAGAATCTTTGAGTTAGGACACAGTAGGCATCATTGATGGCATGAAACAGTCATCTTTTATTTCTTTATTCACTGAAGTATTTTTCAGTTTAATAAGAAACACCCTGAAAACCTACCATCAGCCAAGAATCAGAATCTTGCTATCATCTTCTATCTAATTACTTTTCCCATCTCATCCTCCTGCTTTCCTGAGGTTTTTGAAGTATAATAAACATAAAATGTTAGGGGTGCCTGGGTGGCTCAGTCTTTAAGTGTCTGCCTTCAGCTCAGGTCATGATCCCAGGATTCTGGGATCGAGCTCCTTGCTCCGGTGGGAAACCTGTTCTCCCTCTCCCACTCCCCTTGCTTGTGTTCTCTGTCAAATAAATTTAAAAAAAAAAAGTTATATTTGCTTATACCTAATTTTTTATTTTAATAAGTTTTATCAAGAATATATGTGTGTACTTAAGGAATGTACAGTTTAGTTGTTCTGAACTTTGTAAAAAGATCACACTGTATGTATTTTTCTGAGAGTTGATTGTCTTTTCATTCAGCTTCACATTTCTGAAGTTCATTCTGTTGTTGGCGTGTAGTTTCCTCATTTTTCCTACTTAGTGATACTCCATTGTGTTACTATACCACAGTGGATTTATATCCTTTTCTGATGTTGGGCTTTGGATTCTTTTTTATTTCTATTTTACTTTATTTTTTTAAAGACAGGCAGGGAGAGTAGGGGGGCGGGCAGGGTGGGGAGAGAGAATCTTAAGCAGACTCTACACCCAGCCTGGGGCCTGATGTGGGCCTCAATCTCACGACCCTGAGATCATGACCTAAGCCGATATCAAGAGTTGGTCGACTAACGGACTGAGCCACTCAGGTCTCCCATGGGCCTTGGACTCGTGAATGGGCTGCTGTGAGCATTCTGGTGGTGTACATGGGCAAGAGCTTGGCATATAGGTAGTAGAGTATGGGAGTGTTCATTTTCAGAGAGGAAACCAGCTTGTTCTCTAAAGCTGTTAATAAATTATACTCCCACCAGCAATATATGAGATTCCGTTGAGCCCTGTCCTCTCTAGCATTTGGTAAAGTCAGACTTCTGGATTTTTGCCAGTGAAATGGTTGTAAAATGTTATTTTTGTGTGATCTTGATTTGCATTTTCCTAATCACCCATGAAGATGAGCATTTCATCATATTATTTCTCTACTGTATTTTTTTCCCATTCTGTAAAATTCCTATTTGTTCAGCCTCTTCTGTTGTTTTTTTTTACCTGATTTATAGGAGTTCTTTCTATATTTTTTTTAAAGATTTATTTGACAGAGAGAGATCACAAGTAGATGGAGAGGCAGGCAGAGAGAGAGAGAGAGGAGGAAGCAGGCTCCCCACTGAGCAGAGAGCCCGATGCGGGACTCGATCCCAGGACCCTGAGATCATGACCCGAGCCGAAGGCAGTGGCTTAACCCACTGAGCCACCCAGGCGCTCTCTATATTTTGTATTAAACTAGTGTTTTTGTTGGACATACAAGCCTCACCTTCCAGTATGTAAGTTTTCTTTCATTTGCTCTAAGGTATCTTTTTTATGAATGGAAGTTTTTTTTTTTTTTCACGTTAATGTAGTTGTGTTTATTAATTTTTTTCCTTTACAATTATTCCTTTTTGTGTCTTAATATTTATTCCTCCTCCTCACCCCCTGCCAATTAGTAGCTGTTTGCAGAAATGATGGGTAAAAGAAGCAGGAATAGGATCCTGAATAATTTGAATCCATAGCAAATTTAAAGACTCCATTCCAGGCTGTGATTTATATGTCCTGTCTCCCTAAAGCTTTCAGTATCAAAGGTTCCATGTGGCTTAGTTGTAATTTCACCTCCTTTCACTTCCCTGACTCTCTCCAATGGAAGTGGTAATGAACCATGAAAATGACCAAGTGGGAGCGGATGGTTCCTGGAGGCGCTGTTGTATTGGGATAGTCAAAAGCTGACTCTTAATTTGGCTAAGAAAGGAGAGTAGGCCCAAAGAGGGAAGGTACAAATACGAGTGAAAATCCCTTTCCTTATGTATACATTTCTACTCAGAGAAGTCCCATCCAACTGTAGTCAGCCAACTTACAATCACCTTCTTTTATTTTGTTTGTTTAGGCTTATTTGTAAAACTGGATCCTAAAAAAAGTTCGCCATAAAAGTTTCTGGTGCATTCTGCACCAACCTGCACTGGGCTCTCCTTCCCTCCAGAAGAAGCTGGTGTCTCTGGTCCTGCCCTGCTTACCTGCTTTTGAGGCCCCCCAAGGGGTGAAGCCGCTAATACTGATCTTCCTGAACAAATCTTCGGGATACAACTCCAGGAGCTGTTCGCACCTTCTAAACTCTTAACACAGAAGGACTCTCTGTGACAGTATCAGCAGTTCTTTGTGTGTCCTCAGAATAAGTTTCTGGTTCTCCTAAATTTGAATGGGCTCCTTAAGGTTGCATAAGCATGGTGTCTGCCCCATTGCCGACTGAAGAAAATTCATATTGAAACTCTTACCACAAGCTAGAAAATGCCAGAAAACTGAAGGAAGTTTGTGTGTGTGTGTGTGTGTGTGTGTGTGTGTGTGTGAGAGAGAGAGAGAGAGAGAGGTAAATAACAAAGCTCGCTTTATTATATCCAAACAAATCTTTTTTGGCCACAGTAGGAAGCACAACTAGTTCCTTTAGGAATGAACGATACCTCAACTCTGAATCCTAGGGATTAAATAGCTGTACCATTTTCAATGTAAGCTGTCCTGTTGTGTCTTACCAACAGCATAGTTGATCTTCACTGGAAGGAACCTGTATTTACTTACCCAGGTATCTTCATCCATTCAGGCTGCTATAACAAAATACAGAACAAAATAACCAACGGAAATTTATTGTTCACAGCTCTTGAACCTAGAAAGTCAAGGATCAAACACCAGCACAGTCACCTGGTGAAGGCTAGCTTAACTGGCTTAGAGCTGATGCCTTCTCACTGTGTCCTCACATGGTAGGAAGGGCTAGAGGTTCTCTAGATCCTCTTTTATTAGGATACACACGAGGGTTCTACTTTATTACATATTTCTCTACAGCCCACCTACTGATACCATCACATTGGGTGTTAGGATTTCAACATACGAAAGCAGGGGCGGGAACAAACATTCAGACCTTCACATCAGGGCTGCCATGACAAAGTATCACATACTGGGTGATTTAAAACAACAGAGGAACTCATTGCCTCACAGTTCTGGAACCAGAAATACAAAATCAAGAGTTCTACAAGGCCAAGCTCCCTCTCAAGGCTCTAGGGAAGGGATTGCTCAAGTCTCTCTCCTAGCTGCTGGTAGCCTCAGTGATTCCTTGGTTTGTAGATGCATCACTCCTGCCTTCCCATCATCTTCCCTCTGGCCAGATTTCCCCTTTTTATAAGGCCACCAGTGATTGGTAAGGCCCACACTAATGACCTTGCTTTAAACTCATTACCTTGATGAAGATCCCATTTCTCTGGCACCTGGGTGGTTCAGTCAGTTAAGTATTTAACTCTTGGTCTCAGCTCAGGCCTTGATCTCAGGGTCATGAGTTCAAGCCCTGCACTAGGGTCATGGACCCTACTTAAAAAAAAAAAAACCCATTTCCATATATGTTCTCATGATGAGGTAGGGGATTAGGACTTCAGCATGCCATTTGGGAGGACATGGTTCACCCCATAACAGAACCTTAAACAAGATGAAAGATGAAAAAATGAATTGGGAGACTAATGTTCTAGGAAACCTATTCTACTTCTAATAGATCGAATAGAATCTACTGCAGACAATAGTTTGGGCTTCAGTTTCTTGCCTTTTCCCTTACGAAAGTTTAGGTTGAACCACACAAAACGGCCATTTTCAAAGGTCAGAATGGTCAAATACAATTTCCTATGGCTTGACCTAATGACTTAGGGATAGCCTTGCAACCCCCTACCCAGTCATCCTTGCACAGCTGAAAGATGAGCTAGACTCCTCCACTGCCAGAGTGGATTGACCCTGGGATGGCCAAGCCCAAAGAAGATTCCCATCCCTAGGGCACACCTGCAGTTTCCAGGCTGCAAGAAAGGCCTCAGCAGAAGATAAGGGTCACAGTAAGGGTGAGGCTAACGGTTCCTTCCTCGAAATCCTGGCAGAGCTTGGGGAGGTGCCTGGCCGACATCTGCAGTTTGCATGTCTGGCAATAGCCTCTCTTCCAGATCTTCCATCTACTGACACTGGAGCCTGTGGGCTCTTGGTGCCGCTCTCATAGCTTCTCCTGGATAGTAGGCATGTGTGAAAATGTGAAGCTGAACGAATGAGCCGACACTGCCATCTAGTTTCAATTAGTAGAAAGGAGTTTTTTTTTTTTTTAAGATTTTTATTTATTTATTTGACAGATCACAAGCAGGCAGAGAGGCAGGCAGAGAGGCAGGCAGAGAGAGGAAGGGGGAAGCAGGCTCCCTGCTGAGCAGAGAGCCCGATGCGGGACTCGATCCCAGGACCCTGAGATCATGACCTGAGCCGAAGGCAGCGGCTTAACCCACTGAGCCACCCAGGCGCCCCAGTAGAAAGGAGTTTAGAGAAGATACTTCAAAAATCATTTATTTGAACAGGCTTGGCAGACCGCTAAAGCATGCCAGGCTGTCATCCAAGCTAAAAAGAACCTAACTGAAAGATTCCCAGAGGACCAGTTTATGTATGTGCATACCTTCCTTCCCATCCACATGTGAGGTTTTTGTCTGTTTTGCTGGTGTCTGGGCTGCACATGCACAGGGTCAGCCACGGGAAAGGCTTGGCGGCTGTTTACGCAGGGCCTTCCACAGCCGACAAGGGCAAAATGGTTTCCCTGCTATGCAACAGACTTCATAGGCTTGACCAAGCTTGCTTGCTTGCCTTAATCAGCTTGCATTTTTGGTAAATCTGTAAGATGGAGGGCAGATGGCTTAGGAGGGAGGTTTTCTGAGAACTGGGCCAGCTCTGCTCAGTCACTAGCTTGCTGTTAGCTGTTGCTGTGCAGATACTCCTCCATGCCCATTTCCCCTCATTACCCTGGCCAGTAGGGAGCAGTTTGAATAAAGATTGGGAATTGATGTGGTCAGTGTTAAAATACCTTTGAACTATCAGGGCAAACAATTAGGCAGCCAGCTTTTGCTCTTAACCCCAGGTTTCTAAATGCCTAGGAAATATAATAGATGGTCATGTACAGAAGTACATTGAAGGAATTTTAAAAATTTAACTTTTTTTCTCTAGTGGGAAGGTGGAATGAAACATAAAAGGAAGTCAAGAAAAACCTATTGTTCTTAGGGGCAGATGTCCTTCATGGTCTATGTTTCAATTCACATTTCCTTCTTAAGATGCTGACCACCTATCACGGAGTCATGAGGCCAAATTACTATTTTATCTAATAACCAGCCATCATGGAACCCTAGGCAAACCTCTCTTTCCAATGCCAACCATACAGCATTCTCTATGGTAGACATAAGAAAATCTCAAGTTTAAATCACTAAAGTCTTGGATTTTATGTTTCAGGAAGATTTAAAATTTCTTTTGATAATATTCTTTGTCACTACTAAGATCAGCTCAGAATTATAAAATTGGCTTATTTTTCGTCTTAGTTACGGATTTAAAATTAAGTAAACTGCAGACAGATAAGGGGGAAAAACCATAGGCTGATCTCCTTTATGAATATAGATGCAAAAATTTCCACAAAACACAAACTAAATCCAGCAGCACATTTATTTTTTAAAGATTTATTTATTTTAGAGAGGAGGAGAAGGGCAGAGGGAGAGAGAATCTCCAGCAGACTCAGCCAAGCAAAGAGTCTGAATTGGGGCTCAATCCCAGGACCCTGAGATGAGCTGAAATCAAGAGCTGGACATCCAACTGACTGAGCCACCCAGGCCCACCTCCCCCAAAAGCACATTTTAGAAGATTAAACACCATGACCAAGTGGGATTTATCACAGAAATACAAGGGTAGTTCAAAAGAAAATAATAACACCATGTTAAGAGAACAAAGAAATAAAACCACATGATCAATTGATGCAAAAAAGACAACAAAATTCAATCCCCTATCATGAAGAAACACTCAAGAAAACTAGGAATACTTGCAGAACATCATAAAAGGGTATCTATGGAAAACCCACAGCTAGCATACTTGGTGAAAGACTGAGAGCTTCCCTGCGAAGATCAGGAACAAGGTAAGGATTCAATACGCAGCCATCAAAAGTGAAATCTTACTGTTTGCACTGATGTGGATGGAACTAGAGGGTGTTATGCTAAGTGAAATCAGAGACAATTATCTCACTGATACATGGAATTTATTTTTTTTTACTATATGGAATTAAAAAGAAAAAACAGGATCATAGGGGAAAAGAGAAAAAATGAAACAAGATGAAACTAGAGAGGGAGACAAACCAAAAGAGACTCTTAATCATAGGAAACAAGGTTGCTGGAGGGGAGTGGGGGAATGGGGTAACTGGGTGATAGGCATTAAGGAGGGCATGTGATGTAACAAGCACTGGATGCTACATAAGACTGATGAGTCAGACCTGTACCTCTGAAACCAGTAATACATTATATGTTAATTAACTGAATTAAAATTTAAAAAATATTTTTTTAAAAAAGGATTTGTAAGTTTACTACTGCTATTCAACATGGTATTGGAAGTCTTGGCAGAGCATTTGAGCAACAAAAAGAAAAAGCACCCACATTGAAAAGAAGTAAAACTATTTCCAGGTGACATAATTCCATATGTAGAAAATCCCAAAGAATCCACCAAAAAACTAGTACTAGAGCTACTGAGCGAATGCAGCAAAGTTGCAGGGTACAAAGACTTCATAAAAATTAAGAACTTTTATCCATCAGGAAAGTGAAAAGATGACCTACAGAATGGGAGAAGGGATGTGCAAATCATTTATATGATAATGGGTTTAGTATCCAGAATATAGAATTCTTACAACCTAACAAAAACCCAATTTTTTAAAAATGAGCAAAAGCAGGGGTGGGGTGGGTGGGGTGGTGGTGCCTGAATGGCTCTGTTGGTTAAGCAGCTGGCTCTTGATTTCAGCTCAGGTCTTGATCTCGGGGTCATGGGGTTGAGCCCTGTGTCGAGCTCACATTCAGCAGGGAGTCTTCTTGAGGATTCGTCCTCTCCCTCTGCTCCTACGCCCTGCTCAAGCTCTCTCTAAAATAAATCTTTAAAAATTTTAAAAAGGGTAAAGGATTTGAATAGACCTTTCTCCAAAGAAGAGAAAGAAAATGCCAATCAGCATGTGAAAAGATGTTCAACATATTGGTTATTAAGGAAGTGCATATCAGAACCACAATGAAATACCACTTCACAGTCACTGAGACGGAGATATATATGTATATATACACATATATATAGGTATTTTTTATGGAAATGAGTGTCAGCAAGAATGTGGAGAAATGAGAACTCTTCGTACATTGCTGTTCATAGTTATAAAATGGTGCGGCTACTACTAGAAAACAGTTTGGTGGTTCTTCAAAAGGCTAAACATAGAATTATCATGTGACTGAGCAATTCTAATCCAAGAAAAATGAAAACACACCCAAACAGAAACCTGCACACAGATACTCATAGTAGCATTATTCATCCCAAATGCAGTGGAAGAGCGGATAAACAGATTGAGGTATAACCATACAGTGGAATATAGCCATAAAAAGGAATGAAATACTGAGTCATACTACAACTTGAAGGAACCTCAAAAACATGCTAAATGAGGGGTACCTG